TTATAATAAAAATTATCAAAAATCGTCATACCTCATTCATTGCCTAAGTGAGTGGAATACTATATTATTTTACAAGCTAATACACAATGAAAAATTTATATTCTTAAATACTTTTACTTGCTGCATGCAAGTGTTTATGCAGTTGGGTCTCCCATTTATTGTCAATCACGGTCCAATATTTTCTCAAATTTTTGACTGAATATTATATGATTAGTTTAGCCTTGTTCATTGCCTCATAGACAATTGATAAAGTCGATTTTTTGTCTTAATCCACTATCTTTAAGATCCTAAAAAGAGGCTCTATGACAGATTAAACTTCTCTAGTCTTCTTCCAAAATTGGTCAATCAAAATAAGGTTTGAAATCTTATCTCTTGTTTTTCTCATTTTCTTGTCTTTGTTGAACTCACGCCATTCATCAATGGTGCACATTTTTTTCAAGTCCGATTCATAACGAATAAGACTTTCAATGGCGATGAATTCAGTGGCAAATCATGTTATACTTGGCCTCAATAAATCACTGTCTCTTGTATGTTGTTTGATTAAGTTCACCACTTTGAGACTATTGTAGATAAAGGAATGTGATTATCTTAGTATCATCTATGGTCTCCTTCAAACAAATAAGGTTTGAGCATGAGAGAACTAAAAAAAACCCATCCCACTGAGCAACTGCTTGATTTGAGCAAGATTTTTTTTTTCAAACAAATTAATACTTTATTTCATGAATCAAAAATTACAAACAATATGGATTGCAGACATGCCTGCCTTTTACAACAATTCCACACAAAAAAATTAATCAAAAAAATCTAAATTCTTCCTCAACATCTTACGCCCCTGCTGATCCTGCAACAGCAAAAGTCTCTCCTGAAAGGGGATGTTCAGCGAAGGAGAGCAGTCAAAAGAATTCCCATTCAGCACTGCCCAGTTCGCAAAAAAATCAGCCATAGAATTGGCTTCCCTGTACACTTGTAATTCTAAAATCCAGCCTCTCCAAATACCCCTACACCTGTCTATAAGCAGTCTCCAATACTTCCAGGCCCTTGCATGCCCCTTCATCACCATACCAACCATCACCTCAGAATCAGCCTCAATCTGAATCTGATAGACAGTCAAGCCATACTGCTCAATAAGACACAGACCATCCCTCAAAGCTCTGAGTTCTGCCTCCATATTCGTACATTCCCCATAAGCAAAGGCAGCAGTCAACCATCCATCCATAGGAGGACTTCAATTAGCCCACAAAGTTATAACTCAACTTTCATACCGCAGTCCACTATAAAATCCTCAACAGCCCTAGGCTTAATGCCCAAAGCCTGTAATCTGAGCACAGCACAAATCCTTAAAAATAAAGAATAGGCAGACAAAACACCCTCTCCAAACATCCTTCTACACCTCTCCCTCCAAATTTGCCAAAACACAATCAAAGATAGACCTCTGAGCAGAGTATGACTCAAAGACCTCTTTCTAAAAACTCTAATCAACCTCATCATTCTTACCATAACTCCCTCATTCTCCACAAAACAGAAGCCAAAAAAACCAGCCAATCTTTTCCATACTTCCACAGCAAAATCACATTTAATGAAAACATGATCATTCGACTTCATCTCCTTACAGCATAAAGAACATCTGCTAGCTGAGCTCATCAAATAAACCTTACAACGTATCAAATTATTGGTGAGTGATAACAAAAAAAAATTAGTATTCTACTCGATAAATTATTTGAATCAAATTCAGCTTCATGTATTCCAATGCACACAGATCCATCGCAATTCATACTTCATTAATCACACTTCATAATTCTCAAATCCCAATTCATATTTCATAAATCACAATTCATAATTTACACTCACACACACACTGTGATGCACACACACACACACACTGAGATGCACACACGCACACACGCACACACACTGAGATGCACACTCAGATAAACACACAAATTCATACAGAAGACGAGAGAAAGAAAAACCCTTTGCATATACACACACTTAGATGAATACACACATTCACATAGATCTAACGAAATATAACAAAATATACATAGAACTAGGACTATATATGCATATATATAGACAGATCTATGTATACATATGCATATATACATAGATCTATGTATATAACAAACCCAAACTTAAAAAAAGTAATTCCACAGAGGGGTTAGAGAGAGAAAGTGATCGATGGAGGAGATGGAAAGAGTAGAAAATCTGACAAATCTGTGCTTCCATCGCTTGAGCTTCCTTCGCTGGATCAATCGCTAGAGCATTCTTTGACGAATGAGAGAAGCAAAAAAGGATAAAAAAAAGTCATTTTATACTTGGAACAAAAAAAATACCTTTTGTGCTGTTAATGGGGTTTGAAGATGAGACCTCATTGATTGGGGTTGAGGGATGCGTGTGTTTTTCCCCTATTTTTGAAAGCACCTAAATAAGAGTTTTTAAAAATAGGGGTTGTTTACAAAACAGACTGGTCAAAAAAAAAAAACACTCTCCAAACATGTTTTTTTTTTTTTTAAAAATAAAAAAAAAAAAAAAAAAAAAACAGATACAACTGGTTACCAAACGTAGCCAGACATATTGAACTTTGAGTTTTTCATTCTCAATTTTCAAAATATCATTTTCTTTTGAAGAGTGACAAGTTTCTTTTTGAGCTCCTTGTATCTTTTGGTGATGTTAAGCAAGCCATTGTGCAATTCTAGCATGGCATCATACATTTCATTCATAATAAGCTCATTTTCTTCTTGTGGTTTAGAGTTTACCTCATCACTTTCTTCCATAACCATGAAGCAAAGATTTGTAGTTTCTTTAGTCTCTTCATAGTTCGAGTCACTATCACTATCACTATCACTATCACTCCAAGTTGTCTTCATGGCAACTTTCTTGTAAGACTTCTTCAATGTAGGGCAATTTTGCTTGATGTGTCCTGGCTTGTTGTACTCATAGCCAATTATCCCACTTTTGCTTGAATTTTCTCCTTTCTTGTATGGATCTTGATTCTTGAGAAAGCTTTTGAACGTCCTAGTGATGAAGGGAAGTTCTTCATCACTTTCCTCATTCTCTTCATTGCTTTCTTTATTTGAGGCTTTGGTAGACTTGAAGGCAATCTTTTTCTTTTCCTTCTTTTCTAGCTCATTATCTCTCTTGATACTCATCTCATAGGTCATGAGAGTGCCAAGGAGTTCATCTGAGGGAAGAGTCTTAAGGTCCTTTGTTTCAATGATGGCGATTACTTTGGCATCCCACGATCTTGGAAGATACCTAAGTATTTTTCTTACAAGTTCCTCTAGATTTACCGAAAGACTTAAGTGCATTAACAATGTTAGTAAAACGTAAAACGTGTGAACATTTGTGATATGTTTTCATGAGGATTCATTTTGAAAAGCTCATAATCATGAACTAACATGTTTGTCTTGGATTCTTTTACTCTATTAGTTCTCTCATGTGTGACTTCTAGCATGTCATATTTGACTTGTTTCACAAGTAGAAATACGACTGAATTTACTTTTATCCAAAGCACAATAAAGTGTGTTCATTGCCTTGGCATTGTTTGTGTATGCTTGCTTCTCATCACAAGTCTAAGTTTTCTTATCACTAGTGGGCTTTGTATATCTTTCTTCAATAATATTTCATAATACATCATCTAGAGACATGATATATATCGTCATTCTAGCTTTCCAATATGTATAGTCATTTTCATTGAAGAATGATGGTCTAGACATGGATTGTCCTTCAATAATGTTTCCTTCCATGGATTCCATGATTTTTTCTCTAAATGTTGTTAAACACTTTGCTTAGAGTCCTAGCTCTGATACCAATTGTTGGATCGATGTGTTGGCCACTACGCCAAAACCAACATGTATATTTTCAACCACTAGCACACACGGGTCGGACTGGTTAAGCCTTCCCCCGAGTCTCAGGGACACTTGCTGTATCTCTACTTAGGCCAATAATCCTCCAACAACTACCTTGAGACTTGAACCTATGACCTCGCTCTGATACCAATTGTTAGCCAAAAGTGCAACCTAAGAGGGGGTGAATTAGGTTTTCAAAGCTAATGCCCAATTTATTATTTGTGAAATTTGTTGATCTAGATGATAGTGATGAATATGATGAATGTAATGAAGTGTGTGAATGATATGCTAAGAATAATGTATAAAACAAAAGAGAGAGAAGGGAGAAAGCAAACACAAAGAGTTATAGAGGTTCGGCCCCAACACTTGACCTACGTCTTCTTTTTTCTCCCCTTCGAGGTTCTCTTTCACTTTCTTGAATCTCTTCAATAGGCGAGATTCCAACACCTTTACACTTTTCTTTTCCTCGAGTGTAAGTCAAATGTTCCACTCTTAAAAGCTTCACTCATGAAGAATAAACTATCACACTCTCTCTTGCTTTACAAGAAAATTCTCTCAAATCTCAAGAATAATACAAGAGTGGACTCTAAAGCTTACACATAATCAAATCACTTTACAATGAACTTTCAATTCTCTCTTGGCTCTAGCTTATAAGTTCATATGTTCAAGAAGTCCCAAACATGCCTTAAAGACCTCTATATATAGTAGAGGTCAAGTGAGATTCAAAATGCTGAAAATCAGCATTTTGAATACCAGTTTGTTAGACACTTCTTCCTTGGACAAGAATTCGATGCTTTCGAGGTTTGTTGGTTCACCAACCGGTATGTCGGTTTGTCAGTAGAGCTTTGCCAGTTCATCAGAGGAATCAGGATGCAAAGTATTGGGAGCTTTCGAGGTTTGCTAGTTCAACATCTAGTATACCGGTTCCTCCGTCGGGTATACCGGTTCACCTATCCGGTATACCGCAAACTGTGATCCTCTTATTCTTAATTTTTTTTCTTTCTCTTCTTATGTTGATCTTTCACTTTGTCAATTACAAGTCATCATCCACACAGCTAATCAATATATTAGATCATACTTGGATGTTTATCATCTTCAAATTCATACTTAATCAAGCATTGGGTCAACATGTACCACATACCAAATCGACTCATGATACATGTAACATTGCCAAGGGGTAATGACATGGCTCGGAAACCATTTCAAGAGGTAGAGGTGTTGAGTTTGAGTCATGGTTATCAGAATTCACTAAATCCGTGGCGACCCACGATCTAGGTACATCAATCCCAAATTGGGTGGGTTCGCGATCCAGATCACCAAAATGTATGACCCCAAATTGTAATACTAACCTTAAATTAATTCAGATTCGAATATGCAGCACAAATATAAAATATATATTAATTGACTACATGTATATAGATTTATAATTATATATTGTTTTAGATAATAGAAAATCAAGTATAAATATAAGATAAATAGTAACTAACTTAGTGTTTATGAATATTCTGTAACATATAGGGCCTGTTTGGTATGTTTTTTGGAAGGGGTTGGATTGGATTGGATTGTCCAAACCCGGGTTTGACCCAAAGATGGGATTCAACATTTAATGTTGTCCGTACCCATGTTTGGTATGCGCAGGGATATATGACTATTATGATAATATATTTGTATATAAATGACTATTGTGTCCCTTAACTAATTTGTATATATGAGATATATAGGATATATAGGGGTATAAATGTAATTTTCATGTTAAACCCCCAAACCCACAAATGAAACCCACCCCCCTTGGGTTTCATAAAACCCAAGTATATGTGGGTTTCATGACCGGGCCAAGTTTGAAATCCTATCCATACTTCATGGTTGCCAACATTGGTTTAAGGGGATTTTCTCCCCAATCCATGTTCCAAAACCTCCCAAAACCCACATACCAAACAACTCTATAATGTTATATAATAGTGAAAACAATTTAAATAAGAGTTTTAAAACGAATTGCGACAAAAAATAATGTACCGGTTAAATCTACCCCCATCATACTGAGTACTTAAGAAAGTATCGTACCGCGTACCCATACCCGTATTGTGTACCAAAGCGACCCATGATCTAGGTGACCTTGGTTTGAGTCCTTCCCCTTGGTCATCCTGAAAGCCTATGTTACTTCCTTTAGCCCAAAAGGGAGAGCAATTCCTTCCATCTATTTTATTGCCTTTTCCTTGCGCATGGTAAAAACTATTGATATGCTCTATAACATTGCAGATTTGCAAGTAGACTTAGGACCATGTAAGCTTTATATATATTCATCCTTAGTGATAGGCCGATAATGATTTTTCAAATTGTTGGTGAGCATTTGTGAAACAAGACGCCAAGGCAACAAAGGATTGAATGTTTCTATTTAGATGGTGCATCTGGGGATGTTTGTGTAGCACATGAATGTTCTGCTTCATGGAAATGGTTGATACTTACATGTAAGATTGCATTAATTATTTTTCTACTTTAGAAATTACCAGTTTATTTAATTCTCTCATTACAGCAATGTAACCTGAATCTGCCATGTACTATATATTAATATGACAAGTATAGGCTTCTGTATGGGCTCTAGATAGCACGTCAGCTGCCTTACATCAGTTGGTTTGGAAGTTTGTCCCTTTTTATAATGAGTGTAAATAAGTATCTCTTAATGCTGGGAAACTCATTGAACCTGTGATCTGCACAGGTACTCGCTCTTCTCCCACCATATGAGGGGAAATCTGTTCTGGAACTTGGTGCTGGTATTGGCCGATTTACTGGTGAATTAGCTGAAAAGGCTGGTCAGGTTGTTGCTTTGGACTTCATTGAGAGTGTCATCAAAAAGGTTTATGTCCATTACCTTGATGAAATCATTCTTCCATGGCTCCACTTTTTTATGTTAGGAACGGACAATGTTTCCCTGAACAGAGTTTATCATAACTTCTTTTTTTCTTTTTCTTTCTGATTTGTTGCCTTGCAGAATGAAAGCATTAACAAGCATCACAAAAATGTTAAATTTATGTGTGCTGATGTGACATCTCCAGACCTGAATTTTTCAGCAGAGTCAATGGACCTGATATTCTCAAATTGGCTACTGATGTATCTCTCTGACAAAGAGGTAAACTTCTTCATTGTCACCTACACTTCATTTGACAGCCCCAAGAGCATTACACGTGATATGGAAAGGGGTTCTCTAGGTGGCATGCCTGAAGTTAGTTAAGATCAATTCAGTTATCTGTAAAAGAAATGGATGTGCTTAGATTTATAATTACATGAACGAGATAGCAAACTTACTCTTTTCTGAAAACAACTTTTTATGTTATTCAAATTACCTTTTAGCTGCATTATTGGACTTTAAAATTTAATCAGCCCCTCCTGCGTACATACTGCTTTCCTTTTCATCCCTTTTTGTATTCACTAGTATTTCTTACCTACTATGTTCACTTTCCCGGGAAAAGATGCGGTCCGTGCCCAGGGAAGTGTTAATTAAGTGAAATTCCTTTTAGTATCTTAACATGTTTCTTGCTTGAAAATTGTTTGGCGTGAAAGAATTGGTCGATCACGTGAAGCAATACTGCCACCGATTGTTTTGTGCCACTTACAAACCCACCCATTTTTAATTTTGTTTTGGTGACAAGCATTTGATTGTGTGTGTAAATGTAATCAGATTGATGTGGCTTTGTTCAATACATGTGGAACAGAAAACTTGGCCCATTAATGTAAATATTTTGGGTGAAAAAGTTTAGATAAATAGAGGACACATGTTGTGGGGTTAAAGGTTTGATTTCAGCATCAAAGCTTTCTATCTTCCAATTGAGCATTTTGTTACTTTGTCATGCTACTCTTTTTGGTTTTGGTCATATAGTCAGCACGAGACTTCTTATTGCATAAGATGTGCTGGTTCTGATAACATGTTATTGTATATGTGGGTATTATACATTGCGTGTGCTGTTTTTATTAAATGAATGTACTCTATAAAATGCTAGATATTTATCTCTTCTTTAGACTTATGCTTGTCCTGAGATTACTCTTTAATCCTTTTCACTTGCCTTTTTGTTGCTTGCAGGTTGAGGATCTTGCAGGAAGGATGGTCAAATGGTTGAAGGTTGGTGGGTTTATATTCTTCAGAGAATCATGTTTCCATCAGTCTGGAGACCACAAGCGAAAGAATAACCCCACCCACTATCGTGAACCCAGATTTTATACCAAGGTTCCATTTCATATCACTTTTTCCTTTCAATATATGCTTCAAAAATGCTTTGTTAGTTGAAATTGGTGTCTTAAGAAATTATTGTTGTTGTCATACATGATGGCTGCAGCTCATTAACATTTTGGACAAAGATTAGGTCACTGTCAAGTGCAGAGAATTTTGGTTGAACTATGCTAATGACTTAGATTTAATAAAGTTGATTTGACATATAGTTTACTTCAACACACTAGTAGCAATGTCAGCTCAGTTTCGAGACATCATTGCCAACTTATTTGGCCAAAGTTACCAAATATGTTAATTTATTTTCTAGAGAGACTGATGGTATCAACAATAAGTACATAAATTAAATACTCTGGTGCTAGCTTTCAAATCTTAATTCTTATAGTTGCCTAAATTTATGTAACCCTCCTTGTGGTTCTTCACCCCCTTAATGTTTACAATATGCTGGTGATGGAGATCTTCTAGTGGAAAAGTGTGCCCATTTACATTCTAATTTGAGCTTCTTTTGTATTCCTCCTGATAGATATTCATATTCTATTGCAGGCATTTAAAGAATGCCATATGCGTGATGATTCTGGAAAATCTTTCGAACTTTCTGTTGTTGGATGCAAATGCATTGGAGCTTATGTGAGAAACAAGAAAAATCAAAATCAGGCAATATATTTGGTTGCTGCCCTCTGTTTTGTTTTTCTTTTCTTGTATCTCAATTGAATAGATCAAGTGAATGATGCAATTGTGGTGTGTGGTGCAGATATGCTGGATATGGCAAAAAGTTAGGTCCGAGGATGATAAGGGTTTCCAGCAATTCTTGGATAATGTTCAGTATAAATGTAGTGGGATATTACGTTATGAACGCGTCTTTGGACAAGGCTTTGTGAGCACCGGAGGAATTGGTATGTTTTGTTGATCAAGTATTCTATCTTTTTTTTTTTTTTTGATATGAAACATGAAAGTATATTAATCCTGAATAAAATCATAAAAGAGTACATAAGAGGACGAGTCCTCTTGATAAAAGTTACATACAAAAAGATACGTAAAATAAAAGAAAGAGATTAAAAGCAAATCTATAAGCATAGCAAAAGAGACAAAATAACAAAATCCCAAGCCTCAACTATTGGCTCAAGGCACACACTTGAGGCCAATTATTAGCATAACTATACACGCAACTAAAAGAACAAATTTATTTGTATATATCAAGGTTTTTTCAAAAAATTTCTTACAAGAATAAATTATGTTAGATAAGAGTTTCAAGAAACAGTGTCACTATAATGAGGACAAGATATCCTCAAAGAAAAGGTATAATAATAGAAATCATAATATAAGGACCTAAAATATCCAAGGACTTCCAACTCTATTGAAGGTCCAACATGGGCATCCTTTTGAAGTCTTTTGTTGCTTTGGTTGAAAAAGATGCCAGAAACACTTGCATTATTTGGTTTGCGTCTCAAAAAGCAGTATCTGAAAATTGTTTTTGGGAGTAGTTTTAGAAAAGTGTTATGGTATTTTTTGGTTCAGAACTTGTTTGGTTATATGATTCTAAAAACAGTTTTACGGGATAGAAAATAGTAAAACTTGTTTAAACATAGAAATAATAAAAATAGAAATGTGGTGGTGGTGGTGGTGGATGTGGTGGTGTTGGAAGAGTAGTGGTGGTGGTGGATGTGTACTGGTGGTGTTTTCTAAATTCTGGAAAGGTTATTTTCAAAAACACATAAAATATTTTTAACTTATTCTCTAAATTTACCCACCTTTTTATTCTTAATTTTCAAAAAATAAAAACATAAAAAAGCTGGCAAAGCAACTTTTCTATTAGAAACTGTTTTCAAAAACAGAAAAATAGTTTTTGAGATGCAAACAAAACATGACCTATTTTCTTCCATTCTAATTCCAAAGGAAGATAACGATCATTGAAAATTCTTACATTCTGCTCTAACCAAATGAACCAAAGAATTCCCATCAACGCACAATTTCCAAAGGGCATGCCTTAGCTTTTTTATTCTTCCCCCAAACCCCACAAGTTACTTTGCCATAACTTGTCTACTATAGAAAGAATAAAACCAAGCATTAGTAATCAAGTTGATTAATTTATTCTGCAAAACCAAGCATAAGGACAATGAATGGGTAAATGAGCATTTGACTCTCCATTTATTAAGCAAGTAATATGAGTATCGGGATTCAATGCCTTTATAAGGTGTCCTTCACATGTAACAAATAATTAGTAGTTGCTCGGTGATGGGCAGTAGACCAAACAAAGGCTTTAAATTCAAGGGGACTTCAGCTTTCCAAATAATTTTACCAAACAAAAATGACTCGGCAATCTGGAAACTAATGAAATTTGAGTAAAAAAATCTACAATAGAGGTTGCCATATTTATCCAAAGCCCAAAGTCTGTGATCGTGAGGAGAACAAGGATGGAAAGTACTATTTTTGTTTTTCATGTTTAGAGCCCGAGCCTTTGCAAAATGTGTATCATCAGATTCTGGAATGATTACGGCATTCCTGATTAGATCAAACATAATTCAAAACAAAATTTGCAAATGATAAATTAGTAGAAGCTTATGTGTGGAACTGTTCATCTCATTGCTAGCTGTTTGCAATGCTATATAAAAACCATGAGCTACTTCATGTAAAAAGGTGTATTTAGATCATGTTCATTTGATTCCAACACTGGTTGTTGATTATAATATGATTTTACTCTCTGACTGCATGCTGTTTAGCATTGAGGGCAATGGTTAGACCTATTGCCTACTTATTAGAGGCTAAAAAAGCAGGATTAATGCCTTCAGTTTTGTCATACTGTCGGCATGCAATTATTAGCTTCCCCATGCAGATTTTTTTGCTTAATAGATAGACAATTCATTCTCTTATTTTTCCCATTGTTAGTATTATTCTTTTGCTGTGAGAGCGCACTTCTTAATGAGCAGGTACGACGAAAGAATTTGTTGCTAAGCTGGGTCTTATGCCTGGCCAGACAGTTCTAGATGTGGGCTGTGGCATTGGGGGAGGTGACTTTTACATGGCCGACAACTATGATGTTCATGTTGTAGGAATTGACCTATCCATAAATATGGTTTCTTTTGCTATTGAGAGGGCAATTGGGCTCAAATGTTCAGTAGAATTTGAGGTTGCTGATTGCACCAAAAAAACATATCCTGATAGCACTTTTGAGGTGATCTATAGTCGTGACACTATTCTCCACATTCATGTAAGATCCCTCTCTTTCTCCACTGAGCTTTGGATGTTCACTTCTGTTATTTTTTTTTTTAACTTCACATATCATTTGTAAAATTCCCCATTTTTTAGTTTGATTTGGTTCCTCGAAAGAGTGACATGGAAAGAAGAAAATGCTTGAAATATCCATCTTTTATCAACCATTTAAAATAACTTTTTTCTTTTTTTGTTTTTGTCGATTCTTTCTTGGAAAAATCTAGTGACTGATTTTAATGCTTGGCTTAGTTTTCTACTCATCCACCTTATGACTTCGTTGTTGCAATCTTCCTGATTATGCTTTTTTAGTGACTGTAACTTGTTCAATTTTACCTCTAATAAATTACCTCTCCAACAGCTTGACATGCCACATTGTCAAATATGTTGACATTAGGTTGTTTTACCACAAAGCTTAACCTTCCTTTTTCTTCATTAGTTTATTTTTTCATTCCTTTTCTCCTTCATAGTCTGTGTCTACAGCACTTCAAAACTGATCATGTAATTTCAGGACAAGCCTGCACTGTTTAAATCCTTCTACAAGTGGTTGAAGCCTGGAGGCAAAGTCCTTATCAGTGATTACTGCAAAAGAGCTGCTCCTCCATCACTTGAATTTGCAGAGTATATTAAGCAAAGAGGATATGATCTCCATGATGTAGATGCATATGGCCAGGTACACTTGTTTTTGAAGTTTTATTTTACATTGCCCTCTCTCTCTCTCTCTCTCTCTCTCTCTCTCTCTCTGACGAAAGTTTTGTGCTGCTTGGATACATAGATGCTCCAAGATGCTGGTTTTGATGAAGTCATTGCAGAGGATCGAACCGATCAGGTTCTTGTTGACCTATGTCCATGTATATGCGTAGAGCATATCATGTTGGATTTTCTAATCTAAAGACATGCTTCCTCTTATTTCAGTTCATAGAAGTTCTTCAGCGGGAACTAAGCACAGTTGAGAAGGACAGAGAAGCATTCATCCAGGAATTCTCTGAAGTGAGTGATTTATTTTCTCTCTCACTTTTCCTGGTAAATGCATGCTTTTTTTTTTTTTCATTTTTAGTTGCTCAGTTGGGTATTTGTTGGTCCTGAAATAATAAACAGGAAGACTACAATGAAATAGTTGGTGGTTGGAAAGCCAAGTTGATCAGGAGTTCATCAGGGGAGCAGAGGTGGGGTCTGTTTATTGCCACAAAAAAGTGATATCCGACTCCATCTATATTGTCTTTAGTAGTTTTTTGTCTGCTTTTATGTTGAACCCACCATCGGAGAATAAAATCCGAGCTAAACTGTTTTTGGGGCTTTGTAAGAAAATAAAATATGAGCCAAACTGTACTTAGGGCTCTACAATGATTTGGTATGTACGCAGTTTCATATCGATGAAGTTTATTCTCTGTTATGTTGTCAAACTGATAATATAATTTGAATGTCAAGTGTTGATTTCAGTTAGCTTCCTTGAAGTTCAATTCGGTTAAATCCTTGATTCAAGCTAGAAGCATTCAACCCCTCTTTTTGATTGTGTTGTGCCTTTTTCTTGCAAAAAGATCGAAAGAAACATCTTGCATTGATTAGGGAAATCAAGTGAAGTTAAAGACTAATCTGCACCCAAAATGTTGGACGGTTTTTATGTCACCGTGTTTGTGTAATAATTGTAAGGTACCTTTTGTAGATTACGTATGTATTTGCATTCTGAAGAAAGAAAAGAATTTGAACAGTCTTTGGTTAGTTAAATACTTTACCCTTTTAAATTGTTATTGTGATCCCACTTTACAAACTTAACTATTTATTGGCCATTACACGTTTTACCATTCAAGTTCATGACCCATTGTACGAATGTTTGTGTACTTTTCAACTTAATCCTACGCTAAATTAAAATCAAAGACACTATTAGAATAGCCAAGGTAGTAGTCTTAGATTTAACTCTAACAGCTAGGAATTAAGCTTTCAAGCTTTGTTTTTGATTTCATTTAGCAGTAGTTGATTTGGATTGAAATCTTGTAGTAGTTTGAAGAACACTTGATTGAACTCACACAAAGAGCAGTCTCATTCAACAATAGCGTTGCAGGACGTTGGTTATAACATGTTCTAATCAACAGTGATAGTTAAATCTAAACATTTAAGGGGGACAAGGTATCATTAATCTTAAATTCTACCATTTTCTTTAAAAATAGAGGAAAGAAAATAAGTAACACGTTGTAAAGTCTTTAGGGTGGATAATTACCTTTATTTTTCTTCACCTCATCTACCTATAAAAGGGGTGGCATTAAAACCTCTCTCTCTCTCTTCTCGATGGCTTTAAAATCACTTGTATACTTTGTCTATAAAAAAACATCAGCCCAATGAGAATGACACAAAAATGAAAGAAATATAAGAGAAAAAAAAAGAAGAAAAAGTGTGATCCTAAAGATCAACACTTCGATACATTAAGTTCCTAAATGACTTATTTTTTATATATTTGTGCATTTTTTGTATTTAGTTAATATTTCGTTAATTTCACAATACGTTATTAGCACGAATATCTAATAGTTCAAAGAAACACTCTATTTTTTAAAAGAATTTTGAAGTAAGTTAAAGAACAGTAAGTCTTGAATATTATATATTGTTTTTGAAAGTTTTTCTTACAATTTAATATTTGTTGAAAACAAAATTCATAGAAGTCCTAAATACTCCGGATCAATTTTTATAAGTTAAAGAAATCCACAAGATTTCAAAAGTCCTTATGACTTCAAAAGTTCAAAGACTTTAGATTAATTCACAATTCTTGAAAGTCTTTAATACTTTGTTATGATATAAAGTTCTATGACCTTTAATTTTACGCATTGAATCATAATTGTTATTAAGCTACCAGGGGCGGAGGTATGTGTATATGTGTGGGGGCAGTTGCCCCTGTTGACTTTTTAGCAATTACCAAATATACACTATGATGGCAACAAACTATGATCTATTTATCTTATTGCCCCTCTTAATTTTCTAAAAAAATTGTGTCCCAATCCTTTTTATCTTTAATAAGTTAGTATTCCACTTGTCCCTTAATCTACTACAATATTTAAATATTTTATTGTCAGACTAGGCAGAATGAGAAATTAATCAACTCATATATATCGACCAAAGACAATGCATGTTCTATTTAATACATTTCGTTGTACTTTTTAAAAAATAATTATGTAGCTGTCCCATATTTATTTTTTGTAAATTAATGGCTCGAAATCTAGTAACACATGAATAGATATAACAAATTATAAAATGTACTAACCTAAAAGTGTTTATGCCTTTTTAAAAGCATCAATTCTCAAAAAGATTAAAAGAAATTGTTTTGAAATATCTTTTAAAATTAACTAATTATAGACAATTCTTGAGATTTGAAATACCATCATTGTGTTCTCTTGAATAAATGACTGACTTGAAATGTGCTATAAAAATATTATTTATCTTGCTTTTTCATATTTTGTTAATATTGAATTAATTTTTCTTCAGTAATTAAGTCTTGATCTTAACATATTTCTCATAGGTGAACTAAGGAATATTCTGTGTGAAATTTACACCTAATTTAATCATTATTAATAGAGATGCAATTTTTTTTAATACAAGCTAATTATGTTTTTTATTCATGGTTTTACCCCACTAGAATAGAATCCTAGCTCCGCCTCTGTTAGCTACTATATAAATTAAGATGACTTTTGCTTCTAGTCATATATTTACATTTTAAATTTATGTGTTAGTAGTTATTGATAAATTATTACCATAATAAACTCATGAATTTAATTGATATTCATAATTCATTAATGTTTGAGCATGATGCATTAGTAGTTTTCTGCAGTTTATTGTTATTACTGTTAAATGCTTATTAATTCATTATTTATTAGATTTTAAATGAAGTATTACATTTTGTCATTTATAGTAGGGTTAATATCACTAAAGGTCCCCAAAGTATGAGATTTGTCTCATTTTAGTCCCCAATATTTCATTTGCATCATTTTAGTCCATGAAGTATTGAATATGTTTCTATATGGTCCTTCAATCAGACAACGTTCAGATTGCTAACAATTTTTTATCATAAACTTGTCACGTAATAGCTAAATATGGACAAAAAATAATTTTGATAGCTCTTAAACAAAATTTGGGTAATTCTTGACAAAAAATGTGTAATATGGATAACTTTTGACCAAAATTTGGATAACTTATGATCAAAACTGTGTAATTTAAGTAGATAGTTAATCAATATTTGAGTAAAAATTTGGTCAAAAATTATCCAATTTATTTTTTTGTCCACATTTATGTATCATGTGGCAAGTTTATGATAAAAAAATTACTAGTAATCTGGACACTATCTGCTTAAAGGACCATAAAGAAGCATATCTAATACTGCAGGGATCAAAATGATGCAATTGAAATATTGGGGATCAAAATGAGACAAACTCTATACTTTGGGGACCTCCAGTGCAATTAACCCTTTATAGTAATGTCAAACCTCGCAAAACTCGAATTAGTTTCCCTTACCCTTTCTGGCAATAATTATTTGTCAAGTTTGCTTGATGTTGAACTCACCTAACTCTATGAAACTAGATGATACAATTGCAACAAAGAATACCGTATCCAAAAAAAAAGTGTGAGATATTTATTTCAGAAGCAATATAAAATTTAGATGAAATAATCTTACTTTCTATGATATGTGTCATATATATATATTTTGGGAAGGGAAGATATATGTGGATCTTCTCTCACAATTATATACATGAATTGAATGACACTACCTAAGGTGATGAATAGGTTTTTAAACTTTATGCGTTAATAACCACCAAATTAAACCTATTCTTACCACAATGATCTCTTCTCACAAAGATTAAATAATTAATAGTGGAACTCCCTTTTAACCATAACGACCCCATGAACGTATGAAGATTAGTGTATTGATTTTAATAATTAATCACTCACCACTCAATCTTCATGGGGATCCTAACCTAATATCCCAAACTCGTAGCATTCAACTAGGGATGATGTAGATATTCAATCAATCACTCAATCAACCACATAGTAAGCGTGTGTGTTCAAATCACAAGTGATTTGTTGACGCAGATACTCTCATTGGAAAAGACCGCAACGAACCACTCTAGGGTTCATCAAAGCCTAATTCACTATTCCAATATCAGCTTACAAGTATTCGAGTCTTATACCTCACCAATACCATGGTTAGATACTCTTTTATTTCNATTCTTGACAAAAAATGTGTAATATGGATAACTTTTGACCAAAATTTGGATAACTTATGATCAAAACTGTGTAATTTAAGTAGATAGTTAATCAATATTTGAGTAAAAATTTGGTCAAAAATTATCCAATTTATTTTTTTGTCCACATTTATGTATCATGTGGCAAGTTTATGATAAAAAAATTACTAGTAATCTGGACACTATCTGCTTAAAGGACCATAAAGAAGCATATCTAATACTGCAGGGATCAAAATGATGCAATTGAAATATTGGGGATCAAAATGAGACAAACTCTATACTTTGGGGACCTCCAGTGCAATTAACCCTTTATAGTAATGTCAAACCTCGCAAAACTCGAATTAGTTTCCCTTACCCTTTCTGGCAATAATTATTTGTCAAGTTTGCTTGATGTTGAACTCACCTAACTCTATGAAACTAGATGATACAATTGCAACAAAGAATACCGTATCCAAAAAAAAAGTGTGAGATATTTATTTCAGAAGCAATATAAAATTTAGATGAAATAATCTTACTTTCTATGATATGTGTCATATATATATATTTTGGGAAGGGAAGATATATGTGGATCTTCTCTCACAATTATATACATGAATTGAATGACACTACCTAAGGTGATGAATAGGTTTTTAAACTTTATGCGTTAATAACCACCAAATTAAACCTATTCTTACCACAATGATCTCTTCTCACAAAGATTAAATAATTAATAGTGGAACTCCCTTTTAACCATAACGACCCCATGAACGTATGAAGATTAGTGTATTGATTTTAATAATTAATCACTCACCACTCAATCTTCATGGGGATCCTAACCTAATATCCCAAACTCGTAGCATTCAACTAGGGATGATGTAGATATTCAATCAATCACTCAATCAACCACATAGTAAGCGTGTGTGTTCAAATCACAAGTGATTTGTTGACGCAGATACTCTCATTGGAAAAGACCGCAACGAACCACTCTAGGGTTCATCA